ATTTGGACCATTTCTCGATTTATGCGTGTCATCCTTGCGCAGGGGCCATGCTAATCTTCTCTGTATCGTTCCAATTTTAATGGATGTCCCGAAGGACAAGGCTGTCGCCGTAACGACGCCGTTGTTAAAAAGGTGTGAAAAGGAAGGAAGGAAAACTAATGCAAGAACTGGGGCAAGGGGTTCTAGTTCAGCGGACATACCTCATGGCCAGCCTGTGTCAGTAAGCGTGCCAAGAAAACTCCAATGAACCGCGTGCCTCCCAACATCAGAATCTTCTTTGGCTCTGTGGCTGCCACTGGACCCGCTGCAGCTGATATACCCCTTTGCTTGGTCTTCTGGTCGACCTGATAACAGGCAATCACTGTAAAACGTCAGTTTCCACCATGGAAACAACATGTCCATAACAAAACCGTTTCAAGGGCGAATGCTTGAGAAAGCTGCCGTTTTTACAAAAAAAAAAAAAAAAAAGACAAAAAAGAAAAGGCGTGCTTCAGGATTTCAGCCAATCGGGTGCGACCAAAATGCCCTCTCCATTCTGAAGAGATCGATCCTTGAAATTTCAAAAAACCGTTTTAAGGGTGAATGCTTGAGAAAGCTGCCGTTTTTACAAAAAAGACAAAAAAGAAAAGGTGTGCTTCCCCGGGCCGCTACATTCTAGACAACGTTATGACTCTGAACGAGTCGGTAAGAAAAATCAGGGAAAGGAAAATAAACACTGCCATGCTCTTCMCTGATTTCGAAAAGGCATACGATCAAGTAAACTGGGACTTCATGGAAGCAAGTATGGAAAAGATGGGAGTGGGACCTAACTTCAGAAAATGGGTCCGGATACTGTATAGAGATGCAGAAGGYTRTGTCCAAGTCAATGGACTACTATCAGAATGCTACCCGATCTCCCGTTCGGTCCGTCAAGGGGACCCCCTGGCCCCCTCAATCTTTCTATTTGTGATGGAGGCAATCGCATCCTTCCTCCGTAAGGATCCATCAATTCAAAGGCTAGCCAGCACAGACGTAGGTTCATCCCACCAAATGGACTTTCCAATAGCCATCATGTTCGCTGACGATTTAACGGTCCTAATCAGAGCATCTGATTCCTCATTCAGGTCTCTAGCTAAGGCAATGGAAGCATTCAAACTAGCCTCAGAAATGAAAATCAACTGGGGAAAAACAATCGGCTGGTGGCTATCCGAGGATGAACCCCCCTCGCTCCAAGGGGACGAGGCGGCGATGACGTGGCAAACGCCGGACACACCCACCCGCTATCTGGGCATATTATTGACGAAGGAAGGACTGGCTCCCCAAATGGGCCCTTCTATGCTAACCAAACAGATCAATAAAATTGGAAGATGGGGCAACACCTTCACATCCCTCATCGGTCGAGCACTAGTCCTCAATACATCGATCTTTTCAATGATGTGGTACATCGCTTCCATTTGGACAATCCCTGACAGTTCGCTTAAGGAATTGAATCGAAGAGCTAGGCTGTATCTATGGACAGGAGACCCTAACAAGGAAAAACGATTATCCAAAATCGCCTGGCACTACGTTACAGGAAGGCCACGTAATGGAGGCCTAGGAATTATCGACCCCGGAACAGAAACAAAAGCCCTACAAATCAAATGGATCATCAAACTACTGATGAATCCAAACAGCGCATGGAACAAGCTGGCACTGGACAGTATCAGATCCGTGGCCCCAATTCCCTCCCCAAACGATATGTCAGGCCTGTTCTGGGTAATGAATAAAGAATGGGTGATAAACACAGGACGTAGGAACCGAACGAGGAATAACAGGCTCAATGACCCCCGTCCGCCTACACCTTACTGGCCGGCATTACTCCGATCCT